CATAAGATGACACGATTCATTTGCACTAATGCCAGAATAATAAATAATTACATGTAAACAAAAAGTCAACCTTATTCCACACCTTCATCCATGCTGCTTAAGATATATATAGATGAGTTTTAAAGACGAATACAAGTAGTCTAACATATGAACTCAGGTTGAGCTGAAGCTCCATCATGGTGGTATCAATTGAGGAAACTTAAGTCTGTTCCTTTTCATTGTTCCATGGGTCGGCTGTAATTGTAAATGGTGTAAAAGAAACTTGGGGATAAGAGCCCATATTCTTGCTATCATGGATCAACTGGAGTTTCTGAAAAATTTACAATTAGCTTCACTGAAACACATTCATGAAAATATGCTAAGTTTTCTGGCTACAGATTATGGGATATGTACCATAACAAAAAAAAGACGGATGTTTTCAGCAATTTCAAAAAGTCAAAGAAATTTATATAGATTTAATCCAAAACAAAAGGTCACAACGAGAACACAAAAAGCTTTGACGCAAATGCTAATAAAGCTAGTAGTTTAAAGCACTCAACAAAGAGTAATTCTCACCAGTTCCATTCTCTCTATTTCTTTTGCAAAAGAAGTCACCAATGATCCTCTTTCTTGGATGCTACCAAAGAATAGGACTTCTTCGCACCTTTTGCACCGTCTTTTAGAATATACTGCAAATCAAACAAGTTTTCCTTCAATGAAAATAGAAACTATTATTAACCTTCAAAATTGCACATGCACACCTAAAGTAACAAATAATCACGGGCAAAAATCATTTAAAAATTCATGAAAAAAGGCCGTCCGTTTCATCTGTTATATGGAGCATTTATGACTATGATAAACTTCAAGTGCCTAATATAAAACTTTAATTATCGCCTTAAGGCTTTTGCTAATGGAAAAACTTCCAACCCAATGGTTACACTGCAAGGTAAGGAAGTGATTAAGAAACATAATCATTGGCTTAAATTTTTTGAAATGTTACCTCTTCCTTTCCTTCCTACCAACAAAGCCTAATTTTTTATTTTTGGGGATAAACCAAACCTTACTAAGACAGTATCCTACAGGCATTATCCAAAGGAATCTTAAGACCCTTCAAATTACAGATACCAGTCCATTTTCACATCTTATTCCACCCTGAGTGCCTCCTAAAGGTGCAATTACCCTAGCATGTAAGGATAATAAAGAAAATCTATCAACTAAAACAGAGAGCCACAATTATAAAGAAGATGATCCAGATAAATAAGAGCTAAGTTCTTGTACAAGTACAAGGCCTCTAATTCACCAGTAGGTTGACTAAAAAAATGGTTACAACGCAATTTTTTTTCAAAGTACTGAAAGGTTCTCTTCAAGCAGAGAGTACCATATGCTAAAATATCCAGCAATACAATAAATAAGAAAGCTATTGACTTTGAGACCTTTTTCTTCTCAGAGCCACGCTTGCTACTTGATCCAGGCTTGCCTCTAGATGCAGCGGCAGCTTTTTTGCCAGACTTTCTTAGAGTGATTGACCCCTGTCACCAAAACAAGTGGTCACTTAAGGATGACTTTTTAATTCATCTTTTGTTTCTTTTACCTTTTCTAGGCCAAAGTACTAAAGGAAATAGTGACCAAGGACAGCATCATGTAACATGTGAATAGAAACATGTAAGGCCAAGTCTCTCAGACTGTTGGACAATTTCTGGTCCAATTGGATAATAATTCATGAGGAAATTCACCGGGAAAGGAAACCACGCAAATACCTTCTTCAGTCGTCAACGTCTCCATCATGTTTTAATGATGTTCAATGAACTAATAACAAAATAAGTAATGGGAAGTCGCATACGATGCCTAAGGTCATATAAAAGGAAAAATGGCACCATGATGGTACAGAATTACACCCTTTCCCAAATTGAAATACCTGAGCTCCACACTCAGCAGCTCGCCTCTGACGTACAAATTCCATTAGTGGAGTAATGACAGGGACTCCTTTGGGAGCGCCTAAGAAAAATAAAATGGGACCAGAGAGATAATATTCATATTAGGGTGAAAAAAACCCATAATAGAATTCACTTTTTTATCATTCTATCATAACTAACCAGATAGTTCTGCTTCTTTTCTTTCCAACTGAACCTCAGCACTGGGAAGATTCTCAACAGGTTTTGCAATAATTTTGAGGAACTCTAGATAATCAGGGTCTAGTTTCATAAAGAAAAAGAATAGTTAGTACAAGATAACAAGTTATAGGAGTCAACTCAATTTTAGTGCAAAAGCTTCCTATTAAATAATATCCCTAAAGATGAACTCATTTTCATTAAAAATAATGCACCTTTAAAAATGGTCCCTTCACGAGCATCCTTTTAGTGTCTGGCTTTGGAACATGCTGTGAAGGAGCATATTCAACAATGGCTTTAAATTGAGTACCTGCAATAAATGGCATCCACAAACATTTAGCGTAAGGGTCAACATATTATGGGTACATTTAAGTTAAAGAAGAAGAAATTATCAATTTGCAATCTAATTGAAAAAAACGCTAACAAAAGTCGTATCATAAATAATCAGAATTTAACCATAAACTACCCTTCTCGTTAACAATACATGTCCACCGAAGAACTCAGCAAAATCGAAGACATCTTCTGGCCTCTTGAAGTTTATGTAGGCTCGAGAGTATCTCTGATGCTTATGGCTGCAAAAGTGTTTTGAAAACCAAAGGTAATCATCAAAAGACGAGGTAACAACAGGACTGCGTACTAAAGAAATTCTCAATAAGATTATTGAAGCTTTCTTTATTATATCTACAGAATCGATCATCATAATAATTTCTTCCCACTTCATGCGGTTTTCCACTAAGCAAAGAAATGAACCGTCAAACGGAAACCATAGTCCAAGAAATTACATTACACAAATAACCTCGGGAGTGCAAAATAAATTTCAAATTTCACTTTCAAATATTCCAACCTACCATTTGCTCCCCAGTTACTAAAGAACAAAACTTCACCATCTTTCTGCAGCAACTTAGCTACATCTTATCAATATCAAACTTTTGTAATGGATAAGAAATCCGACAGCATAATCACAAAAACTCGCTCTGTTTGATTGCAGATACAAAATTTGAAGTTTATTCCGAAATGAAAAGAACTGGACATGGGGACGTAAAAAAGTTAGAAACCCTTACGTGGACTTGCCGAGACGGAAGGAGAACCAATTGTAACGATCGGAGAAACGATCGTCGATTTGAGAGAAGAAAGAGGATTGGGTAAGTGACGATGGGAGATGCCTTATTACCACTTTCGTTCTTCTTAGCGGCTCCTTCATCTCTAGATTATCGCTTCCTCAATTCTCCTTTTCTGCTGTTTGGGATTTTCAATTCTCCTTTTGAAAGCATAATTCCTTTTTCTCCCTGTCATACACATGTCACTTTACAAAATTTCACGTATACAAGAGTGTGACCTTTTACTTTAGGGTAAATTATAAATTTAGTCACTAATATATAATTATTTTTATTATAAACCGTATAATTTTATAAGTTACAAAATAACCACTAAACGTATCATAAAGTTACGATACGGTACCAATGATTTTGCCCACAGCCTCTTCTCAAATAAATGCATTAAACATACACCATTTTATTTCTCCTTCCATTTCCAACCACGACAGCAACAGAGCAACCATTTGCTCAAGCTAACATTGATTGACATTTTCGAATTCAAAGCCTAGTTTCGGTTGCAATCGAGAAAGAGAACTGACCATGTTTCATAATTCAGGTTGCTAAGCAGAAGCTATACATCACTAGATTCCTTTTTATGAAGGATTTGCAGCCTGCTTACTGCATGGGTCTTAATGTTTCGAACTTTGAAATCAGGTTTTTTTTTTGGTCACAAAGAAGAACTGCACAGGCACAGCAGTTATTTATTCAGTATGGACACCGGCCATATCCTTGGAGGGGAGTTGCTGGAATCCCTCTGGCGGATGAGGAAGAATAGTTAGGTCCAGGCTTGCTGTGCTGTTGATGTGAGCTAAGGCATCGGCTACTTCATTCAAATCTCTTCTAATGTGGTTAAACTTGACCGTCCATTGATGGTGAAGAAGGCTTCGAATTCTTCGATAGCCATCTCGCGACCCTGAGTATATGAGTTGATTTCTTGAGTTGATAGGTTATTTAAGTATATGGAATAACAAACTTTCAAATGTATGGATATGTATATGTGTACGCATGTAAATAACAATTTAAACTTAACCTGGTGTGGTTTAGTAAATTCAAGGCGTGGCATTTTTTGTCCAATTGATCCTGGAGCTTAATCTTGTAATTTATGAGGGTGCAATAGAAAGTTAATGGAAATTTGTGAAGACAAAGAAGGATAAAGATGGGAAACTATTATAAAAAAGTTAATGGAAATTTGTGAAGACAAAGAAGGATAAAGATGGGAAACTATTATAAAAGAAATTGGCTTTCCATTGCCGGGAATTGAACCCGGGTCTCTTGGGTGAAAGCCAGTACCCTAACCACTGGACGACAATGGAATGACTTGCTAAATAGAAAATTTTGGGTCTTATAAAACTGTGTTTTTACTGTGTTCAAATAGAAATGCAAGTTTCAAAAACAATTCAATTTCAACCAAAAGTTTGATGTTTAAAAAATGATTATCTACTCAAACCAAGAAGTTGGGAAAACGATTCTTTTAGCATTGCAGAAACATTCCCTAACGAAGCAACAAAAGACAATTAAACAAAACGAATAATTTTCTTTTACTAAACGCTTGGACATTGTTGATGAAGCCAAGTAACTATTGGTATAGTCACCGTACATCGATAATGTATAATATATGTTTTACTAAAATCATACAGCATAAAATATAAATACTTGTTGACCCAAAAAAACCAACAATGGCTTTAATATTTATTAATTATGGAAAATAAATATACACATCCAATCAGTTGAGGTTAATAACAATTTATATAGCAAACTATAATGTGTTGCTACTATAAAGGTGACACGCAAATGGAAAAATTCCAGATATAAAAGAGATTCAATCCTTTCTGCAGCAGGGTTTGAGTCTGCAACACTTGTTTCCTTCCACAGAAAAATGGACTATCTGATCCTCGATGTGTCGCCAAGATGAACCAGCCCTTGAACCTGAGACCAAGCATTATATAAAGCTTCTGAATCTTGAATTGATAACCCATTATCACTAAGATCTAACAACTGCAACCGTTTAGCCATGCAGATGGCAACGGAAAGCTCTTGAATGAGGTTGCACTCTAGAGTTGAGTTTCTTTGGATTGAGCTTGCACAGCAGTCATTGAATCTAGATGGAGCTGTTTCTCCCCTTGTCTCGTCGTCTTCACTATCAGCGACTTCAAGCATATCGCAGTTGGTGTCAATTTCACCATTGGAAACTGCGTGGTTCGGCTGTAAGGATTCCAAACTCATGTTTGTTGGTTTGTCAGATTTTATAACCAATTGTTTATCCATATCGGCATAATGTGCAAGATTGAGCTCCTCAAGAGATTCATTCTCTGTGAGGAAAACCAACTTAGAAATTAGAATATTAGATTTTTGACAAAAAAAAAGCATCAAAAATCATACTGGAATTGGTAATATAACCTGCTAGTGCATGAACTATTTGAAGAATCCCAGCCATTCCCAGTTGACACTTGTTCAGGTTCAGAACTTTTAGACAACATTGAGGGTTCATAAGCAGTGATGCTAATGCATTGCCACCCTGTTTTCATAGCACCAGTCATATTCAATACAAACAAAGTAATCTTAAATTCAAATTCAGGGTTTCTAGGTTGAAGAAAAGAATATTTATAGCACAGAGCTGATCTGATACAAGACAAACCTCTTGCATAATGGGATTTCCTCGAAGATTCAGCTCAAGAATGCCATTAATGAACATTACATTAGTGTTAAATTCAGAAATGTATGTACATGCTACTCCACAAAAAGACAAATCAAGTTTCAAAGGCTCCTCAATCGAACTTAATAACAAGTGAGTCAAACCAAGTGCTCCATCCTATAAACGGCATAAGGAAGAAAATTAACTAATACACTCAAAGCAAACTAATATTAATGGAAAAAACATGGTGACATGAAAACTGCTTACAGTTCCTATACCGGTGCCCTCAAGCATCAGTCGTGATAAACATGAGGTTTTAGCTAGGTGACAAAGGTCATCAACAGCAGTCTTGTTTAGTTTTAAGCCGTTTAGACTAAGTTCTGAAAACCTGGAAGAAAAAAAGGAACAAGCTTTTCAGCTTAGGTGTTTCTCCAATTAAAAGTACTTAAAGAAAGACGAGAAGTGTACTGTTTATTGTAAACCTCTTCAAAGTAGCAAGTTTGCCCACTAAAGAACTTATGGCATTCCCAGATACAGGATTGTTATGCCCTGCAACAAACAGTGATGCTTAGAGAACTTCCCATAAAAAATAAGGAATTGAATTGAACTATTCATTGATTTGGTAAGCCTACCAATAAAAAGTTGTGATAGTAAAGAATCAGTATCCAGTGCATCAGCAACCTTTTGAACTGTTCTAGAAGTAATGGAGCACCTCTCTACATTCAAGCTATACAGGGCTAAAGATAAAAAAAACATAAGCTGATATACTCGAGCAAAACACAATTATTCTAAAGGAAATATGCCATTATTACATGTAACAGTTGGGATCGCAATTTACCTCTGCACTTTTCTATGATGGTTGAAAGATATGATCCACATGCATCAGTGAGACGATTACCAGAGATATTAAGCACTTCAAGTCGCGTGAACAGCACAGGGCACTCACAAATCTAATAATGAGGGAAATTTAAACATGTTAGGATGCCAAAAGGAGGTGTGGGCTACTCTAACTGCCACAAGAAAGAACTAGAAGTATATTTCTGAGGGGGGAAAAATCAGTTCTAGCAATATTAAGAAAATTAAATATTTTCTTAAAAGAGTGTGTTCAAATATATGAGATAATGTCATAAATGGTCCCAGGAGTTCATCATGCACCAACGTTGGGGGGGGGGGGAATTAAAAGAGTGTGTTCAAATATATGGGATAATGTCACAAATGATCCCAGGAGTTCATCGAATGTTCATTGTTACTTTAAGTCTATTTTGGTACTTCAACTTTAATTTTGTGTTAATTTAGGACCCATAATTAAAACTGTTAAAATTTTAAATGATATGGCTTTTCTTTCCTATGATAAGAGCAACGTATGAAATATAAATGCCACGCCATATTTAAATGTCAGCATAACAATTTTGCTTTTCTTTCTAGTTTTTCCTTTCTTGCATTTCCCCCTTCCTCTGATTCTCCCTCTCATCTCAACATTTTCAGGCTTAATCTGTCCTACCAATGCCAAATTCGTCCTCAAATAGATAATATGAAGAGATCAAGAGAGGAGAGAAAAGAAAGAAAAGATTCTAATAAATAATTCCCTTTTATATTCTTTTAAAACTCAGATATTTATCACATATTTAATATGTGTATTTAAAAAAAACTTTTTTTTGAAAAAATTTCACATTAATGCACAATCTGATAATACAATTAATGCATTGAAATTTTATTGAAGCAGATAACTGCATTGTAAAGTATTTGATAAACTTCAAGTCATTTATGACATTATCCCAATATATATTGAACCAATACAAACAGAGAAACAATATCAAAGAGATGGTGTTTCTTTTCAAAAAGTGAAAAGAAAATATGAAGCGCTTAATTGCTGAGAAAATATGCTTATAACAGAGGCTACCTACCTGGAATAAAGCAGTTGAACCAAATCTATTGCAATGCAAGTCTAAAGTCAAATCACCATATGTTTGGTTCGATGATGAAAAAAACTGCCGGAGTTTCTCCATTGTTCCATTTCCTGGAATAGAACCATCAAATGGACCACTAAGTATATAAAAGAAATGCAGGTTTATTCATTTTTAAGAAAAGCTAGGACTTCACATGATATTGAGTAACAACTTGTCATGTGAACAAAACTTCAAAACTATTTGGAAGATGGAACAGAAATGGGATATTATCACCTAACGCGTTGTGAGAAAGATCTAGCATTGCAACCCCTGTGTGTATGCAAGGCATTCAACAATGGAATTACTGATATATCTAGCAGTCCACAATCAGACACGTTGATTTCATCCTCTATCTGGTAAACAGAGAGTAGAAAATAGAATAAAACCATTTAGGCTTCCCAGTGGTAATGTAACAGGCTTACCATGCAGCAGTTTGTTGAATAAGTAACAATACGAAAAATAGCACCAGCAACAAACTACTGTTTAATCTTCATTCTTACCTCAGAAACATACAATTTTCTAAGCAACTTCATACTCGGTGTCTCGTGTAATTTTTTGCAGCTGTTAATATACAGCTTCATCAAGTGCTTTTGGACCCACCCTGTGAAGATTAATATGATTTTACATCACTTGGAAAGAAGTTCAAATGAGGAAAAAGTTGTACTGAGATTGTAATATTGAAAATAACATGCACGATTAAGTTGGCTAACTATTTCTCTTTGAAAATGTTCAAGAAGTCTATGGCATCATTCATCTTGAACATTTGTTGACTGTAGAACATTAAGATCATAACTCAGCTAGGTGAAAATGGTTTAATTGATCTTTATTCAGAAACATATCAAAGAAGCATGCCCAGCGTTAACCATTTGATAGAGATTAACAATACAGGACTAAAAATCTAAAGGGTACTTTCCATGCTAAAATGGTGGAATTCTGTTCAGATAACTTGATTGAAACTACTCCACAGGAGATAGTGTTACCAATGTGACATGAATATGAATGAAACACGCTTCAAAACTGAAATAAATAGTTTAAACTTTAAAGACACAAGCATCATAATTCATACAACAGCAAACCAGGCTGCATGAACTATAAGAAAAGATGAGATAAGGTCATTGCTTCAGATGACAAAAACCAATTGCAATACATACCACTGGTCAGCACATCAACCGGAACCTTCCTCAGATGATTCGTAAGAGAATCGAAGTTTTCAAAGGATTCTAAAGGTCTTCCGCCACATTCCATGTTTTGAATGATAGGGAACAGACCTAATAAGACAATTAACTGAACAGTTAGCGATCTGGGAATAACAGAACATAACTGAATAAGAGGAACAATGCAGTGATTATTGTTGGTAATGCTCAATCCCACATAGTGTTGGAAACACTATTGGGAATGGTATTTAAGGCTTGACATTCCACTTCCTTGTTGAGTGATAGAGAACAAGGGGGGCTCTCGCGCACCGCCGCCGCCGTCCGTCCGTCTCGTCTCGTCTCGGCTCGGCTCGGCTCGGCTCGGCACGGCACGGCTCGGCTCGGCTCGGCTCGTGGTCGTGGTCGTGGTAATACGTGTCTTCGACACGTCCGCGCGGATACTATCTTTTTAGAGAAAATTCTTGAGGAATTTCTCTTTGAAAGAAACAAATGGAAAATGTGAAAGATATCAACTGATATTTATAGGCTGCTGAGGACTGTTTGAATTTCAAATAATAACAGCTGAATTATTATTTTTTATCAGAAATTAAACAGTTTATTCCTAAATTAAATCAGAAACGTTAAGATGTACCTGGACTGATTTACAGCTTTGTACAGAGGAGACAAGCTGTTAATATCAGGAGTTACAGGAGTTATTTGATTAATTCCAGGGGTTACATGATATAATTTCGGGAGTTATAACAGCTGAATAATGATACAATGAACCTGGACTATTTCTGAGTCAGGTTCATCTAGACGTTTCAGCTGTTACAAATAAGAGGTTTAATCCTGAAATTTTATGGACGATTTTAACCCTATTTCTAGCCTATAAATAGAGAGCTATATTCAGCTTCTCAACTCACTCCAAAACATTTTACAATTCACTTACAAAGTGTTTTCTAAAGTTCTCTCCGTGAGTTCTCTCTGAGTGCTTTCCGATCAGAAGTACAATACCACCAGCAGTCCACTCCGGTTTCGGGTGTACGGAATTTGGAGCGACCGTGTTAACCTCGGGGAACGGTCCGCCTACTGCAGCGATTACACACATCGAGGCGAATTCGTTTCTAAGGCAGTGGTTCTTACCACGACACGGTTTACGAATCTGTTCTTCTTAATTACTGTTTATATTTTCAGTCAGTGCTAACGGTGTAGTTTTGCAGTTCATATATCCAACAATTTAGAAACGAATTCCATAAACTGCAATCATGTCGACACCTTTGAGCAAACTCATTCCCGATCTTTCCAAGCTCGATGCACTTGATGGAAAGAACTATAGAAGGTGGTCCCAAAGAATTCTGATATTCTTCGAGCAACTTGATCTTGATTACGTGTTGCTCAAGCCACCACCTACCATGCCACCAACCCCAGCTGTCGGTAATGATGCGGATACGATCCTCAATGATGATGCCTTAGCAACTGCCGCCGCCGTTCTCGCTACCTACGAGAAACGAGAAGGATAACAAGACGGTACGAGGACATTTGCTCAGCCACATGTCAAATAAACTATTTGATATGTTCCTTAGAGAAAGGAGTGCCAAGACAATATGGGACACTCTCGACAAGAAGTATGGTGCGGATGATGCGGGGATAAAGAAGTACGTTGTCGGTGAATGGCTCAAATTCCAGATGACAGACGACAAACCAATAATGGATCAAGTCCATGACTATGAGAACTTAGTCGCTGACATCATCGCTGAAGGGATGCAAATGTGTGAGGTGCTGCAAGCCAATGTACTCATTGAGAAGCTGCCCAAGTCCTGGTCCGATTACCGCAACTCTCTTAAGCATAAGAAGAGAGACATTTCGCTTGAAGAACTTGTGGGCCATATGAAGATTGAAGAAGCCAACCGTTTAAAAGATAAGCTTACTAATTCTATGAGTAATTTATCTTTTAGAGCTAACTTGGTTGAGTCTAAATTTAAGAAGATCATGAAACGTGGGAATCAAGACAAAAAGACGAAACCACAGAAGGCTACCAACTTCAAGAAGTCAGGAAAGGCCAAATCGAAGGAAAGACGTTCAAGTGTTATGTCTGCGGTTTACCTGGCCACAAAGCTTACCAATGCCAACACCGCTCAGACCGCCAAAATGACAACAAGCCACAGATGCACGTTGTAGAAGAAGATGATGATATCATTGCTGCGGTGGTCTCAGAAGTTAATCTGGTGGAGAACAGTTCAGAATGGGTAGTTGACACTGGCGCTTCGAAGCATTTCTGCGCAAGGAAGGAGTTTTTCACCGAGTTCGAGGATGGAAACACTGGTGAACGTGTGTACATGGGGAACTCTAGCAGCTCTGAAGTGCTAGGCAAAGGCAAGGTTTTACTCAAGCTGACTTCTGGTAAAACTCTGGCTTTAAATAATGTTCTGTATGTACCTGCCTTGCGTAGAAATTTGATAAGTGGTGGGCTTCTGAATAAGGCAGGCATTAAGTTAGTTTTTGAGGCAGATAAACTTGTACTTTCCCGAAATGGTGATTATGTGGGGAAAGGGTTTTTAAGCAATGGTTTATTTGTCATAGAAACTCAATTTAATGAAAATAAAGCTACCACTTCTGCTTATATTGTTGAATCCATTGATATGTGGCATGCTAGATTAGGACACGTGAATATTCATGCTTTAAAGAAATTAATGAATATGAATGTTCTGCCTAAACTAGACACAACTAGCTTTAACAAATGTGAGATTTGTGTAGAAGCTTAACATACTAGACCTCACTTTAAGACTGTTTCTAATAGAAAGACTGAACTGTTAGAACTTATTCATACTGATCTAGCAGATTTTAGAAACACTGAAAGTAAAGGAGGAAAACACTACTACATAACTTTTGTAGATGATTATTCAAGATATACAAAAGTTTATCTCCTAAGAACTAAAGATGAAGCTGAAAACTTCTTTCTTATTTATAAGGCAGAAGTTGAAAATCAGTTAGAAAGGAGAATCAAACGGGTTAGATCTGATAGAGGTGGTGAATATGGATCTAATTTCTTAAAGATATTTGTGAAAAGAATGGCATAATTCATGAAACATCAGCCCCCTATTTTCCTCAACAGAATGGTATAGCCGAAAGGAAAAATAGAACTTTAAAAGAGATGATGAATTCTTTACTAATAAGTTCCGGTTATCTGATAACATATGGGGGAGGCCATTCTATCAGCAACTCATATCTTGAACCGAGTTCCTCATAAGAAATTAGATTCTACCCCATATGAATTGTGGAAAGGATACGCTCCTAATTTACAATACCTGAAAGTGTGGGGTGTCTGGCTAAAGTGGGCTTGCCAGATTTAAGAAGTCCACCATCGGACCTAAAACCGTTGATGCAGTGTTTATAGGGTATGCTACGAATAGTGCTGCATACAGATTCATGCTTTTACAAGATTATTCTATTTGTGAATCAAGAGATGCTGTTTTCTTTGAAAATACTTTTCCTTTAAAGGAACCGAGAATAAATATTGAAACACAAATAGAATATATTCCATCAACTTCTTCTAGTAATCCTGCTAGGTCTTTTGAACAAATTGATTTTGAGCCTAGAAGAAGTAAAAGGCAAAGAGTTGAAACCTCTTTTGGACCAGACTTTATTACTTCCTTTATTTCTGAGATAAATGATTTAGACTTCATTTCAGATCCTATAGCTCAAATTTTTCTATTAGATGAGGATCCTAAAACTTTTGAAGAAGCTATAAGATCTATCGATGCTAGTTTTTGGAAAAGCGCTGTTAATGATGAACTAGAATCGATAATGTCTAATCATACTTGGGAATTAGTTGACTTGCCTAAGGGATTCAAACCAATCTCCAACAAATGGTCTTCCGGAAGAAACTAAGGCCAGATGGTTCGATTCAGCGGTACAAGGCAAGGTTAGTCGTCAAAGGGTTCACTCAAAGGTTTGGTTTAGACTACTTTGATACATACTCTCCCGTTACAAAAATCTCAACGATTCGTGCATTATTTGCACTAGCCTCTATTCATAAGTTGCAGGTACATCAAATGGATGTTAAGACTGCTTTCTTGAATGGGGATCTAGATGAGGAGATTTACATGGAGCAACCACTAGGTTTTGAGGCACCTGGTATGGAAGGCAAAGTTTGTAGACTCAAAAAGTCACTCTATGGACTTAAGCAGGCTCCTAAACAGTGGTATGAGAAATTTCATAAAACTATTCTTAGTTTTGGTTTTGTTGTGAATGGTTCGGATGCTTGTGTGTATTCGAAGATGTTTGAAACTGAATGTGTTATCATAAGTCTTTATGTTGATGACATGTTGATTTTCAGTTCTAACATTGAGTCCATTAACAAAGTTAAAAATTTCTTGTCCACTAAGTTTGAGATGACAAATTTGGGAGAAGTAGATGTAATCTTAGGAGTCAAAGTTACCAAAACTGAGAAGGGATTTTCTTTATGTCAAGCACATTATATAGAGAAAGTGCTAAAGAAATTTGACAGTTTGATGTCGTCCCTGTTCGAACTCCTTATGACCCTAGCATACATCTAGTTAAGAATAAAGGAAGTAGTGTTTCCCAAACTGAATATGCTAAATTAATCGGAAGTTTAATGTTCTTAATGAACTATACTCGGCCTGATATTGCTTATGCCGTGAGTAGACTAAGTAGATATACTCATAATCCGAGTGGTGAGCACTGGATTGCGCTTAAACGCTTACTAAAGTATCTTAAGGGTACTGTGAATTGGAAACTTGAGTTTGTTGGCTTTCCTGCGGTATTGGAAGGATATTGTGATGCCAACTGGGTTTCTGATAATGATGAGGTAAGCTCTACAAGCGGGTATGTTTTTACTTTGGGTGGAGCAGCGATCTCGTGGAAATCATCAAAGCAGACTTGTATTGCTCGTTCTACCATGGAGTCAGAGTTTATAGCTCTTGACCTAGCTGGGCAAGAAGCCGAGTGGCTCAGAAGCTTGTTAGCAGATATTCCGTTGTGGGGAAGACCGACTCCTCCAGTTTCATTGTTGTGTGATTCACAAGCTGCAATATGTGTGGCTAAGAACCAAGCTTACAATGGTAAGAAAAGACACATTCGCATAAGACATGAATCAGTTAGACACTTGATAAAGAATGGAGTGCTCTCTTTAGAGTATGTGAAGTCGGAAAGGAACCTAGCAGATCCACTTACCAAAGGGTTAAGTCGGAAGCTGGTCCTAGATTCATCGAGGGGGATGGGTCTAAAGCCCATTGGTTGAGGAATTCATGGTGGATACCCACTTAGTTATCTAAGTTCCATGTGGTCAAACGAAACCATGGAAAGACTCATAGTGCACATTCCTACTGCCTATCCCTATGATGAATAATGTGCATGCCCAGGATGAGCTTAATTGCTCTTAATAAATTCATAGCCCAGGCTTTGGGTGGTCTTAGTGAGAAAGACTTGATGAATTTACCGATTTTGGCTGAATATCTATTCTTAATAAGTTCATAACCCAGACCGAGTGGGTAGGAAATGATGAACTTACCGACAGAAAGGTTGAGTTTGTTAAACTCTTAATAAATTCAAATCCAAGTATTTGGATGGTTCTAGTGAGAAGGACTTATTGAATTTACCGATAAATGAGGTTGAATATTTATTCTTAATGACTTCTTAGCCCAGAGTTTGGGTGGTTCATTTATAATGAACTTGAAAAAAGTCACCAACCCTTTGTGAGGTTGAGCTATTATAAAAGCTCTTAATTATTTCATATTCCTTTTTAAAGGGTGGTTTATGTTGAGATAAACTTGATGAAATAACCTATGTAAGTGAGAAGGGTTAGCCGCCTTCTATGAAAAATGTTGGACTGTTTTTCTAGCACACTTACTAGAATCCTGAGGTAAGATGGCCAAAATATACGTTTGTATATATATCTTACACATCGAGGACTCAGGTGGATGAAGGGGTTAGTGTGTGTTATGAGTTTACCCTGATCTTAGAAAGTTCCAGACTAGTTTCACTTATCTAAGAGAAGGATTGCTCATCATCACTATGTACTAGTTCCAGATATGTTCACTAGTGCTTAAGCAACTAATCTCGCTATTACTCTTCTGGAAAGCTTGTTTTCGAGTTTCAGAAGATTTTTTTCGCATTAGTGGGGGAATGTTGGTAATGCTCAATCCCACATAGTGTTGGAAATACTATTGGGAATGGTATTTAAGGCTTGACATTCCACTTCCTTGTTGAGTGATAGAGAACAAGGGGGGCTCTCGCGCACCGCCGCCGCCGTCCGTCCGTCTCGTCTCGTCTCGGCTCGGCACGGCTCGGCTCGGATCGTGGTCGTGGTCGTGGTCGTGGTCGTGGTCGTGGTCGTGGTCGTGGTAATACGTGTCTTCGACACGTCCGCGCGGATACTATCTTTTTAGAGAAAATTCTTGAGGAATTTCTCTTTGAAAGAAACAAATGGAAAATGTGAAAGATATCAACTGATATTTATAGGCTGCTGAGGACTGTTTGAATTTCAAATAATAACAGCTGAATTATTATTTTTTATCAGAAATTAAACAGTTTATTCCTAAATTAAATCAGAAACGTTAAGATGTACCTGGACTGATTTACAGCTTTGTACAGAGGAGACAAGCTGTTAATATCAGGAGTTACAGGAGTTATTTGATTTAATTCCAGGGGTTACATGATATAATTTCGGGAGTTATAACAGCTGAATAATGATACAATGAACCTGGACTATTTCTGAGTCAGGTTCATCTAGACGTTTCAGCTGTTACAAATAAGAGGTTTAATCCTGAAATTTTATGGACGATTTTAACCCTATTTCTAGCCTATAAATAGAGAGCTATATTCAGCTTCTCAACTCACTCCAAAACATTTTACAATTCACTTACAAAGTGTTTTCTAAAGTTCTCTCCGTGAGTTCTCTCTGAGTGCTTTCCGATCAGAAGTACAATACCACCAGCAGTCCACTCCGGTTTCGGGTGTACGGAATTTGGAGCGACCGTGTTAACCTCGGGGAACGGTCCGCCTACTGCAGCGATTACACACATCGAGGCGAATTCGTTTCTAAGGCAGTGGTTCTTACCACGACACGGTTTACGAATCTGTTCTTCTTAATTACTGTTTATATTTTCAGTCAGTGCTAACGGTGTAGTTTTGCAGTTCATATATCCAACAATTATGACCAATGATGAGTAAAGCGAAAAGAAGTAATAGTAGTTAGCAATCTCAAGAACATTTCAACCCCACGCATACGAACATATGTACATGCATGCAAGATACATGTTTACTATAAACTTTATAACCAAAACAATGCTTGATAACAAGCAATAAGTGCATGTACTGTTATGGTGTTCTTAAGTACATCTCCAAACACAACTATTTTTTTCCTACGATTTTCAATACTAAGAAGAGTTAAATGACTCCTAATTGGGACTGTTTGGAGGGGCTTCAACCCTAAGCATTAAAGCCAATTCTATTACATTTCACAGGCAACCAACAACCAGCATATCATACAAGCCATAATCTCTGTAAAAGTACTGCTTCCTTGCTCCAAATAAACAAATATCTGAGAGACTGAGACAACAAATATTTGACTAGATTTTCAGAGCTGGTGGTTTGTTCAATCTTGATTCTTGAAGCACTCTAATGTCCTTTCTTATTTTCAGTTACTGAAGAAACTTAAGGATTGCTAGTTTGCTACAGTTCTTCACCATACTTGCAAAAATTGAACTGTAACAAGTAGCTTTGCCAATCTAGATACCTAATACTTTCTAGCAAACTATTTGGTCACCCATACAAAATTGTTAAAATAAGAAACTTGTAAATTTTGTCAATGAGACCTTACCTTTTGAACTCTTCTCTGCAGGAAGCTGCAAATAGTATAGACAAGCTAGTTCAACCTTCAAAGACTCAATGCATATCTTGTCCCAATCCACAAACGAGCTCACTGACACATTTATTGTGTTGTCATCTATTTTGAACGCTATGCATCCCTGCAATTAGTACAACAGAAAAAATTTAGCAGAGCAAGCAAACCACAGAATTCAAAAATGCATAAGACCATTAAGGCCACCTGTGCTTCACAACAACGCACATGGACAGTTACAGGTTTTAAGAACCAATTTTACATTAGAAATTGAAATTCAATTTTCCACACCCATTATTGGCGCTTTAGTTTAAGAAGTTAAATAATTAGCCAAGTATTTCAGAAGGAATGACCAAACACTTCATCTTTATTGACAAACAAATGGCAGAAAACTGAATAGGCAATGCTAGCTACTCCTTTTGTACATCTTACATTTCCCCTAACAACAATGACAACAAATAAGTCAAAAGCAAAGCAAGCTATATATAAGAAAAATGGGAAATGCTCACGTCAACCTCATTATCAGTAGCATGCAATTTGAGATAAGGAGAATCATGTCCATGCAATAAGTTTTCAGAAGCACTGATGTCACATTTCAAAGTGCCATCAGCATAACCGGAACCAATAACAACTTCAGCATCGCTCAGAGATCTGATAACTTTTCTATTTGAAACATTTCTTGGGGATTTGTATGAACCGGTGCTTTCTTCAATATTGACGAGATTACAGGACCTGTTGGGACTTCTGGGGGCAACTGGAGAGGTATCCTGCAAACCGAAAGGAACAAGCAATTGTGCAACAACTTGACAAGGTTAACAATATTCTTTGGGACTACTTCAGTTGCTTGTATACCTGTAATTTATTTTCAGAACTTGCCGAAATACTTTTCCTTGTAACTGCAGTCAGGTAAAAACTACATCTGAGCTATTACTTAAACTTTTAAAAGGAATCCAATAAAATTCATATCTAAAATACACTAACATTCATCTGAAGCAGCAACTTCAACTGAGCATTTATGCAATCTTCTTGCATCATCAGGTAAATCACCTTCATCATCTGAAAGGACTAGACGGACACGTTTATGTCCAACAACTGTTTGCTGATTACTTGTTGGTTTAGACAAACCTTCCGGAAAACTGTCATCCAATTCCATAGAAATATTTTTATTTACTGTGTGAGCTGTTTTACTTTTGCGTGATCTTTTTCGGGGTTCAATAAGTGAAATTAGAGGTAAATCATCATTTGACACTCCATTAGCTGCTAAAGGCGCTGATCTGTCAGAACTGGAACTACACAAAGCCTTCAAGTATGTATTAGGCATGTCATCTGAGAAATGTTCATCCCCTTCTGTGTCTGTTTCAGAGCAGCAATCTGTAGCGATGTGTTTTGCATCAAGCTCCTCAACTTTTGACTGCTTTAATTTGTCAATTTCAAGTTGCAACCTCCTAAGAAAGAAGCTTTCGTCAGCAACAAAAAAACAATGTTGACAACATCATGAACCTATATTGAACACTCAAAATCTTAAAAGTCCAAACAAATTACCTTTAGAACATATTAACTTCAGTTTTACCAGTCATAAAAGTTAAACGCAAGCAACTATCTTATCAGGGCTCATGTAAACAAATTTACCTAGCCTCTTCAACATTGTCAAATCTTATCATGTGGCTATAGTGCATATTCTCGAGTGCAGAAAGCTGAATGGAAGTAAGTTAGCTTCAGCAGCAATCCTGCAGTAGTGACAACAGAACAAAATTAAAATTTCAAATGTAAAAGATAAGTAGGAGGTAACAAGGTTGAATTTAGAAAAAAAAAATGACCTGACATGCAAGGATGGAATGCAAGACACTGATTTGAAATATTCGACAATCAAAACCTAAAGTTAAAAAACAAAGCATCAACGGCAAAGGAACAATAGTTGCATACTTTGTTTGCACTAATAATATTTAGCATTTTTCAGATAACTTCCCAACATGAAAGATGATGCTCAGAAATGCAAGTTCACTCCAGGTGAGCAATCTCTAGCAAAAAGCACATGCAATTCCTGTTGTCAAAAGGCCGCATTTATTCAAGAACAGGGTCATGGGACACTAGATATAATATAAAGGAAGATGCTTAGGGCTTGTTTGATAATCCATTAAAGAAAAACAATCCATTGAGAAATAATTTTTTTAGCAGTTTAATTCTTTAAAATGTTTTGGATAACAAATATTAAAAAAATATTTAACAGAATTTCTTCAACATGAAAGCATTGATAATTTCTTTTATGAGAGAAAGCATTGATAAAGATTAGTGGATAAAGGGTGACTTATCACTTAATGGAGAATACATTCAGTCAATTTATATTTTTAATTTTTCCCTTTTAATATTCTTTTTCCTTTCAATTGCAAACCACTTCACAATAATTTAAACTAATTCCTTTTATTAGTAATTTGCCGTTTTTATAGTTCAAGGTCAGTACTTATTAAATTCAACATTAATGGTTAAACATTTAATTTTTCAACGCTTAATTTTCAGTTTATTAAACACCATCTTAATTTCATATAGAAAAGGTAATGGAAATGGAATTAGTAAACAGACAATTGAAACTTACCAAAAAGGTACCTAAAACAGTAAAGAACAGAAAAATGACCTGTAGCCCTCTTCAAATGCCTCCAGTGCTCCAGTCCAGTCACCATTGCAGTCCCAAACATCGCCCATATTAATTTTTGCCAGTGCTTGACCCTGAATATTATAACAGCCAACAGTCTATCTTCCATCATTAAAAAATAATCATGAACAAGGAATAATCTACAAAACCCTACCCTAAATGAGGACAAATCCTACGTCGTGTGATTGGATTACCATGGTGATTTACAACTTAAAAATGTAAATTATTTGTTAATTTTCAGTATATAAACAGATCATAAAACTAAAATCAAGCTCATCTCCAGAATTTTGATTGGCTTAGATTATCAAGTTCAACAAATAAAAAATTTAAAATAATATTTACTTCAGTTTATTACTTATGTAAACGAATAAAAAAATTAATTATAAATCAACAGATCATAAAACTAATATCAACTTCACCTCCAAATTTTTTATTGCCTTGTATCCTTCCCAACTTTTTTTGTACCATTTAATGGCTTTGCTGAAGTCCCTGAGCTTCTGATATGATTCTCCAACAACTAAAAATGCATCACTTAGCTTTTCTTTGTCACATAGTTCACTTGCTATACGCTTCTTCCTTTTTGCAAATTCACGATGCTAAACATAAATTTTCAAAACTTTAGCACAACGCTGTTCAATATGCAAGAAGATATTGGTAGTTGTAGCCTACTTTGAAATTCAAAGGCAATATACAGATAATTACTGCACATTTTACATCCAGCTAAGATATTAAAAGTATTAAAATAAATAAATAAATGAAAGCGTACTGCCAGAAGCGCAGTGAAAATATCACTGACTGGAAATTGGATCTAAAGACGAAAACTCTTAATACAATCCAATAATCAGCTTTGGCTCTGACGCTGAAAACTAACAACTGTTTTGTCCTTTACAGCATATAAAATAACAATAAGGCAAAAGGTGGCATAGAGATGGCGAAAACAACCCCATCCATGCTATTTACTATATTCAGCTATAAAAAGGAACATCGAAATAGGATCAATCAAACTCCCCAAACCCATTTTCGTTTTCATCATTTTAAGTAGAGCAAGTACGGAAAACAAAAAGGAAAAACAACGGCAGATCATTTAATTTTAAACCTTATTGATAGCAGAATGCATACCTAGAATTCTGTGCAATCCTGTTCAATTCACAGATTTCAGGGGATATAAAATAATAATGATAATAATTAGATGCAACTTCAAACCGTCTTTTGCAATAGTATGAAACTATGCCTGAAAAGAAACAAAAGCAAGGAAAATTCATGTGCCACGGGTACTAACCTTCAGCCATGCAAAGATCATGGCTGATTTCTCAATCAGACGATTAAGACTTGAATGCTGCTGGAGAAGAAACTTACGCTCATGTGGTGTTTCTTTTGCAACAACCATGTTTCTTTGCAACTTCTTGAGATTTTGCTCTTCTTTTTCATTTCATTTATTACATTTACAGCTTCCTTTACAGTCTTAATATTTTGATTAATTTGAGCTGCTAAAGCATCCTCATCTTCCATGGATTTTGCCAAATCAAATGCCTTCTGGTAGCAAAGCATTGCGTCATCATACCTTTGAACCCTATAATGCAACTCACCAAGATTTATGTACCCTTTTGCCTCTCCTTGGAGGTGCTCAATTCTCTTACAAATCATTATGTCGTTTTCAATATGTTCATGTGCTTTGTCCCACCTCCTCAGCTCCATATAAACATTTCCTAGATTGTGATGAAGCCTACTACGTGCATCATCATCCTCAATGACTTCCTCTTCATCACATATCTCCAAACCTTTAGTGAGAAATTTCAATGCTTCATCCAAGTTATCAAGGTCGAATTCAAGCATTCCTATATTATTATGGGCATCAATATACTCTTTGAGAAAAGAAGACTTATTATTAGGGGGGTTTTCCTTTAGAGTCTGAGCAAGCTTCATGGCAGACTTGAAATACTTTTTCGCATTCCGAATCGAGTAATGGTCATCATCAGATTTCAGAAACATTTCATGGTAGGTACGCCCAAGTTGTGTGCCGGCTCTTTGCTGCTCAACAAGATCATTGGCATCCTTGGCAAGTACCAAATGTTTTTTCTGCAATAAAATAATAATTAGCCATCAATCATAAATACACAAACTAAATTTTAGTTTGTGGTTCCTAGGAGACAGACTAAGCTTTTTGCGACAAAGTGGGAGGAAATTCTCCTCAAACTCTAGAGATTAAAACCTAGTACATCCAAGTTAGTGTTTCAGTTCTAATTATTTCCCTTGATAACACCAAACTGAATGCAAACTTATATTTTTTTATCTAATATTTTTCCATCTAAAGAAGATAATGTGACTAGATCAATCAAAAATTTACATTGTGGTGCTAGTATCCCACCAACTAAACCACACAATTTACTTTATCTTTTCAGCACTTTCACTCCACCAGGATAGATTACAATCTAGTTCATGTTCCAAAACTTAAAAACTTTACCTAACCACGATTTGATTTCATATTACACGGCTTCATATCTCTCCAAAGTCCAAACCCCCATTTAAATTTTAGTAAATAAAAAATACCCGATGCCTAGAAAACCAATTACCTCGGTAAAGTCAACAAGCCAACCCCAAAACCACTCTTCTCAACCGACCGATCAACAAACCAACAAAAAATGTAGAGAAAAGGGAAGGAAACTACCTGATAAATCAAGGCGTCCTTGTAGTGTTGCAACCTAAGATAAACCTCACCGAGAGACTGACAAGTGGGGAGCAACTGTTTTTCAGGCAAATACTTGTTCGAAACATCGTAGTCAATTCGAAACCACCTGAGTGCCTCCACATATTCTCCTCTATTTTTCAGAATATCTCCCATTACATTTGCCCACCTCGCCTCTTCCTGATGGTTCCCTTCCTCTCTGGCATTCATGTATGCACGCCTCGCCCTGTTTATCTGTACATCCTCGCCGCGAGCCATCTAAGATGCTGATCGGTGATCTTCGTCCGGAAACTGGTTATGCTAGTAGTGTTTGTCCATGCCAAGTAAAAAGGGAAAGATGAATTTGAGGACTGTTCTGGTTTTTCGAAAAAATTTAGGAGCCAAAAATTCGATCTCCCGCCAAAACTTTTTTATGGGTCGGGCCCAAATCCGAGACGGGACCTCCTTTTCTATTTTTTTTTTTAAGAATTAGATAATAAGTTGGAGTTTATTTCGGTTAATTTGATTTTTATATTAAATCAATTTTATCATTAATTTAATTTTATTGATAAGTTACTAGTTAATAAAATTCATAATTAAACTTATTGATTCAATATATATGATTCAACATATATTGTTTGTTTATATTAAATATATTATATAATATAATTTTAATTATTTAAAGTATTTTTTATAAAAACAACTAATTTTATTCAGAATATGAAATCTCCCAAATTACAATAAAGATTTACAATCACAATCATAAATTAAGCATATAATTAGGAAAAATTCTTATAATCATTGAAACAATAGTAGCAATTTAAGATCACGTAAGGACCATACAAAGAAAGATTAAAAATATAACCAATAAACTCAAACGAAGATAGATACAAACAGATCAGATCGCATCGGCAAACGGACCAAAAAAAGAGATCAAGCTATTGAAAGACCATTGATAGACCGCAAATCAGAATCGAGCGACGTGAAAAGCTATCCACGAACGCAAATCGGGTATCCAAATTCAATTCGATGGTCTGAAGCAGGAAATATCGACTAGATATCATATAAGCGTCATCTTAATTAGTAGTGACGATGTTAAATCAACCCTTATAAAAAAGATAAATGAAAAAATGGGTCAAACAACTGAAAAACATGCCAAAAAATATTAAGAAAACGTGTCATGCAAACAAATTTATTGAAATTATTTTAAAATATTTTTATTTGAAAATAAGTGGATTGATTAATATAATTGAACAAATTTGATCCATGTTAATTTGGATTGATTAAACCAATGATGACTATAAAAGTTGATTGTTAATATTATAAAAATCAGATCAAAAGTTAAATTTTCAATTTTTGATTCATTTTATTTTAATTGTTTGAGTTACGATTCAATGTTAAATTAATACATATAGATAGAACTCTTGTCAACAAATGTGTTTCATTACGAGTAGAAACTGTTTTTTTTAATTAAGCTAAAGCTAGTATTCAAATCCGTGACCTCCGGAAACAACAATGATTATGCTTATGAATAAAAACTAAAATAATAGTATGAACCACTAAAGAGTTTCCTTGCCCCCCAAGCTATCGTTCCACTATTAATTGTAAAAGAAAATAATAATAGCGGTGTTTTTCAAAGGAGATAAATTTGCAGTATGCAGTAAATAAGAGCATTAATGGCGGCCAGAATGAAAAATACAAGTGCAAAAGATCGAATCCCGGAAAGGTACCATTTTCGAGTCGATATTAACTTATAGTTTCGATTAGAAAGCACTGATCCGGTGACAGTGATGAAAAGAGGCATGCATGGGGGACTTGGAACAGGATTTGAAGGGAAAAACTAAACCAGGAATAAGAGCTTGTTGAAGAACGTGAGATGAAGATTGAAGTGGGTCTAAATTGTGTGTATATAAAAATAAACATTTACAACTAAATCTGCAACACTTTTACTTGTAAGAGAAGTTGCTCCTTCAGGTGGAATTATATATCGACACTCTTTACTTTTATTGAAAATTATATGTTCCGTCATCGGAACGAAAATCCGGAAGGAAAACTGTCACGCACACCGTAATGAGCCCTAACAAAAATGGGGGCAGGTGTGGAGATGATTCTAATATCCAAACAAGTACTCCATGACTTTGTTACCTAATGATTTTGCAGGGCTTGCCAAAGGACCTCCCGACTGTCGTGCATTGGCATTGCCATTTTGAAGATGGAATGGGCGGGGTAGCCGGAAGTTGTTCAGCTCTGATGTTCTACTTGATGTTGAGGGTAAAGTCATGAAACCCTGATCAATCGATCTTTCATTTAAAGCCTCACGTTGCATTGGATCCACCGGCTTCACACCAACAATCAGTACTCCACTTATTTGCGTCCCATTCTTGCCAAGTGCCCTCAGAGCATCGGATCGTTCTACACCAGATGGAAATCAGTCATTGTCATGCATTAATTTTAACATCAACAAATATGATTTCATCATGAAACTATATTATACTATACATCTCCTTTCAGTTCAGCTAATCCAACATAAGTCAAGACTTGGCATATATCTCGGAAGGTACATGGGAAAGAAAACCAGTCCTTGGCCTCAAAACGGATAACACAAGGCAAGATGTCAATAACCCACACACTAGAAGCTAAACAGAACATATGAATGCAATTGAAAGATCACAGCCCACTATTAACAAACAAATTTTATCAAGTTTGGGTTTCAGAAAAAATCCATTAAAAATATTTAGCTTATAACTAGAGTTTGGATTGAACGTGTAAGATGTATGTTTATTATTCAACTAATGTTTTATAACTCAAAGAAGTTACTATGTCATGGTTATAAAAACAGCAATCTATTTTTTATCTAATTTTTGCAGCAAGCAACTTTTATATTTATCACTGAAACTGATTTATCTCTTTCTCAGACAAATACAAAAAAACAGCATGAACATTGCAAAAAAGGACTAAATACTCATCACAAAAGAACATTATAGGTATCACTAATACTCATCACTATAGAACATTACAGATAACGCGGAAGAACTAAATAGACGATAAGAATTAGGATAGGATAGGGAGAGAAGATTCGCCGCATAAAGAATGTGCACCCAATTAGCATCCCTTGGACCAGGAACATGTTTCAATATCACACCACACTTCTCAAATTTTCGTAAAACTAAATTCGTATCAGCTGGATAGAATCTGGAAAGAAAGCAAATAGTGAAGTCATAGGTCTTGCATACATATAACAGCAAAATAGCACCATGACATTAACCCAAACATTTAGGTTCCACACTCAAATTAACTAAAACGGACAAACATGGGGAAATGGGCATAATCACCAAGAATGAAAAAGTTAAAATTATAGCTGAGATATAAGAAGGTTATATATTGTAGATACTGTATCAGACAAAAGATATAAGGTTAATCAGGCTGCACCATTGCACTTAAAGAAACCAAGAAGTTTCTGTTTTTCGAACATATTAAACGAAACCGTATTAGCAATTATTTAAAACATTTAAGCAGATAACATCCAAAATAACTATGTATTAACTTGACACAAATGGGTAAAATTTTGGAGAATTAAATTAGGATAAAATGGGACTGCAGATAATGACCGCTGAAGTAATAAAAACAGAAGTTACTCCCGAAAAATGAGGCCACATCACAGCTAAATCACAACTGATTGCTAGCAGACAACTAGAAAATATATCAAGTAGAGCATGAAAGCATGGAACATACCCATAGACAGTAACCCAATCTTCCTCATCCAAATCTCCAGCAGGTACGGAATTATTCTGTACCTCTGGCCTGGCAACTTGTCTTGAAGGCGGAAGTGTGATCAAAGCACCAGGCTGAACCATGCCCTCAACGGGAGAGCCCTTTCCCTTGTCATCTTGCTCACTGCCACTTGCCTTGGGTGACCACCAACTCAAGCTCGCTGCACCCTGCTGACTCTGCTGTCCATCAAGTACGGCAAATGAACTGCTGGCCCCTGACTTTCCCTTTGCAGGAGAAGCGAAGTCACATCCAGAGCTTTGAACTGGAGTTCTTGGGTCTGACTTGATTTCAGGAGAAATAGGATAATCCAATCCCCTGGATTCAGGCGAAAAATCAGCACGGTCCTCCAAGGTGTACATAGGAGGAGGCGGGAGATTCAAGCCACCGGAATTCTCTCGCCGTAAAGCCGAAACTGCTGCTGCTTGACCTGGACTAAAGAATTTCCCTTGCCTGGAAGAGGCCGGTGATGCCAAGTCTTGGAAAAACAATGATTGTCTCCCCGATTTCGGAGTTCTATTAATCACAGTGCTCATTTCTTGGAAACTTGATAAAGATTCCTATATACATAATTACATATCACGTCATTAGCTTTATCAAAACCTGACGGGTAACTTATCTAGCCTATACACCATTAAATTTCAATAAACTCAAAAAAGCCACCAATTTTAAGATAACCAACAGAGTGATTAACGACAAATAATAACTTTAACAGCTTCCAGTTCCACCCGCATTGTTTCCCGAAGGCAATAAGAATTTAACATATATTATATATATAACAAATTACCAGAATAATCGATAGCTTAAAAAAACAATTATTGCAGTTCAATTACCTGGACAAACCATTCCATTGACATTATAAACATACAAACATTTATTAAACAGAGGAAAAGAGAGAAAGAACCTTCGAATTGAGCTCCGTTTGAATTTTCCCTCCAAATTGAAAATCTGAAGAACGAAGCTGTTATCGACGACCGTGAAGAGATTTAAACGATTTTAATTTTGTGAAACCCTAAACCTGAAATCCAACTTTCAGAATTCGGGTTTTGATTACTATTTGATTCTGCTTAATCACATAAAAAGAAGCCTTCATTTTCCCACTGTTCCCCCCCCCCAAATCAAACCATTTAGTTTTGATTTCAGCGTCATCAAATTATGAGAAAAATTATATTCCAATTTTCATTAGTAAACTTAAAGGGTAAATTCAAATTTCATCACTAAACTTTACTCTCTCTCCTATTTTACTCATTGAACTTAAAAATTTTCAATTTCCTCACTAAACTTAATACATTGAATTTTTTGTCACTAAACTCTCTCTCCTATTTTGGTCACTCCGTCATCAAATAGTTTTTTTTATTAACGCCGATAAAAATGACATTGTTTTTTTAAAAAAATCACCAAAACGACATCGTTTTGCATCGATATAACAACCCATTTTAACGGTCAAGTGACAAAAAAATCCAATGTATTAAGTTTAGTAATCGTCATACATGGCTTTATTTGTTGAAACGAAAGTATGAAGTTTTCCAATGCTTTGTTAATTTTTATAAGCTGGTTGAAGTTCAATTTGGTGTTCTGATTAAAGCCTTGTGGAGAGATGGAGGTGACGAATTTCAGGCTCTTCGACAGTGGCTGGCAGTTCATGGTGTCCAACATGGGGTAACTGGTCCTCATACCTTTGAGCAGAATGGTAAAGTAGTGCGTAAGCATCGTCATATTGTTGAAATGGGACTTACTTCTCTTGCACAGTCTTCTTTGTCAATTAAGTTTTGTAGCCATGCTTTTCACTACACCTATGTTTCTTATTAATCGACTTAGTACTGAGGTTTTGGGTAAGAAGTCTCCTCATGAGATTTTATATAGAGTCAACCAGATTATTCTTTTCTCAAAACTCTTGATTGTGCGTGCTATCCTTATCTTCGTCTTTTAAATCGTCACAAACTAGAGTTTTGGTGGAATCAGTGTATTTTTCTTGGTTATAGTATCTCCCACAAGGGGTATAAGTACTTTGATGACAATGGTCGAATTTTTATATCCATATTGTGGTATTCGATAAAACTGTTTTTCCTAGTGCAAACAATTTTTTAACCTTCAAAGATACAGGGGATGGTGTGTCTATTGTAGTTCCTCTGGGCTTCGTTTCTTGTATCTACAGGTGATGCAAGTGTCGAAGTTCCCCCTGGTATTTGTGTTGATAGTTTTTTGATTGACTAGTCTGATCCTTCTGATGTTTTGTCTGTACATTCTTTGTGGCAGTATGTTTTAGAATTTGATGGGGCTGAGGATCCTTCTGTTGTTCTACCCGATGATGCTCTTGGTGCAGGGAGTTATGGTTTTGTTGATGATTTTAGGGAGAGTTCGGATATGGGCACAGTTGATGGAAATCTCCTAGATTCTCAATGAACTCTCCCTACTGGTATAACACCAGTGTGTATATAAGTTGACTAGCACAGGAGCACTGAGATGTTATTTCACGTGACTCATATGAGAAGCACTTCAATACTATTATATTTGGTGATTCTTACGGAAGTATCAAAATATTATCAAATCAAACAACTTATACGGGAGTGTCGTAACTTTTATGGATAAGGTGACTTGTACAGGAGCACCGAGCCACTAACAAGTACCTTTGGTATTATTAATTGGCAATACGAATGGAATGAAATTTAATCTTGATACATCTTGGGCACTTTCACTTACAATGTTTCTAATAATGTTTGGTGTTAATTACTTAGAATAGTTGTGTATTACTTAACTCTCGAAGCTCATTATTCAATTGTTACCGTTTTCTAGTATATAGTATGTCGCATTTCGGGGGAGCACCCTCATAAAGGGATTCCAACACTCCATATTCATGGTACAATGTTAATTTCTTGAAAAGGGCATATATATATATATATATATATCCATGTGAACCCAATTGTGTCGGTCTTAACTCTGAGTATGCTTTAAATATGTTCTATTTTATTATCAAACTATATGAATCAGAGTTAGAGAGGGCAAACATATACAATTTCATGGATTTTGCACCGTACCCGCACTAATTGAAGCGGAGATGGGTATAACTTTAGTGGTTAGTGGGCGGGTGTGGATTTAGAAAGTGGTACCCGTTGCGGGTAGTGGGCGGGTGATGGGTTTGAGACCTTACCTGCCCCGCATCGCCCACCCCACATCCGCCCGCCCACTAAATATACATTAAATTTTGGACCATTATGAATTTAGGTATAATTTTAGAGACTAATTTATTAATCTCAATATTGTATAAGATATAACTTATAATTTTCGGATACTTGATCCGAACTATCCGAAAATTAAAAAACGGATCGGATCAATGAGTCAACGAATCGGTCGGATCGGATTTTTTTGCACACCCCTAGCTATCAGGCGGGTCTAGTCGGGTACGTCTCTAGTTGGGTAGTAGGTGTGGGGATGGATTTGATAATATACACACATGAGCGGGTGTGGATTTAAATTTTTTTACCTATCATGGGTGGTGAGCGGGTGGTGGATTGAAAAATATTAGGTAAGTATGAGGATGGGGAGGGGATATCCGCACCCGACCCGTCCGTTTGTCATCTCAAATCAGAGCTCCGTATTTTGTAATATATTGCTTTAAGAACTGTATACTGTGTCTTTAATGTAAATGTATGTTGATTTACTATTGCGCAAATAAAATAAAGTACGGATTTACTTATCAAAAAAAAAAGTACGGATTTGGGTCGTTCTTGGACCCAACGTGACATTGCATTGTTTAAATTGGATTTAGGACACTCTCTTCTCCCAAATCCTCATTGTTTCCTTCTTTCTCCTAAATCTCCACCGACATCACCCTCTCATAAAAAATACGATTCATAAATTGGAAAAATGATGTTTGATAAGAACGTGGTAGATTCATTTTGGGGAAAGGGCTATAATTCAAGCTACAGTGATTTGAAATATGGAAAAATTTATGGTGATTTGAATACATGAAAACAACTTTTTTCCTCTCAAAATCATGGTTGATGCATGGTGAAAAATCCATGTGGGAAAAGAAGAGGATTTGAAAATTGATGATTTGTGTCTTGTTTTATATATTTAAATAATGTAATTATTGTGTATCTGAACAATGTCCGATCCGTGGTTATTCCTATATACAATATACATACATAAATTATTGTATATTTAAATAATGTAATTATTAAAATTTTACATTCAAAAGTAAGTCCATTTTTCTTACGAAAGTACTCTCTTTTCTCAGTGTTTCCACTGTTCTCTCAGATTCCTGATTCTTTTATGGACCCCTCTTTAGAGAATCTCTCTCTCGCAGATGAAGAAGAGGAGGTACTGCAGATTGGTGAGAATCCTTTACCCTCTAGAGTTTCATTTGCAAATTGCTTCGTGGGTACATTCCTAACTTCCAGTGTAATCAACTTCCAATCCATGAGGAAAACTCTCGCGGGGATATGGCATCCGATCGGTGGTATATCAATCTCGGATCTCAGGGATGAAATATTCCTATTCCGTTTATACTATGAGATCGATGCTGATAGAATCGAGAAAGAAGGCCTCTGGAATTTTAATATTCACCTTCTCATTCTTCATAGGCTTCAAGATGGTGAGGAGTGAGGACCCTCTTCTAGTCCCGTTAGATTGGGTCAACTACTGGGTTTTGGTGTACGACCTCCCTCACGGGTTCATGTCAGAACATGTGGCCAAGCAATTGGGAAACTTCATCGGTTCTTTTACCGAATATGATTCATCAGCCATTCTTCTCGAGTACAAACGGACAATGCGTATTCGAGTTAAGATTAATATTCGACAATCTCTCAAAAGGAGGAAAAAGTTTGCTCTGTCTGATGGTTCTCATGCTTATGCTCGTTTTGAGTACGAAAAGCTCATGTTATTTTGTTTTCTTTGTGGTTGGTTGGGCCACGGGGAAGGTTTTTGTCCGATTCGAGTTCTTCATCCCGGGCAAGATTTCCAATTTCAATGGGATTTGTCGTTGCGGGCACAATCAAGGAGGAACGCCCATCGGAGCTGCAAATGGTTAATTGAGGAAAGTATTGATGGCCATAAAATCTTGGGCAATTTTTCAGGAGGACATTCAGGAGATGTCCTAAAAAATTCTCAGCAGCAATCCTATTCTGATGGCATTAATTCAGGAGAATCCCACATTCACCGTTTGGTTGGCCGGGAATGTTATTCTAGGTAATGTTTTATTACCAATAGTAAATTTTTTGGAGTATATTACCGAAAATGTCATTACCCAATTCCCTTAGGTATTGTTGAATTACCGGCATTTTGGACTAAAATGCCCTTAAAAAATTCAAAAATATCATTCTTCTGTCATTGAATAATAAAAATTCTACGAAGGTTAAATTATAAATCTATCCTTAAACTATTTTAGATTTACAAAAAAAAATCTATAATTAAAATTTTATATGAAGTATAGGGGTTAAAATAAAATTTTACCCTTTCATTAAACCTTTTTATATTTTCAATTTTGTAAAAAAATTATATAAATTTTATGAATTTAATTTTTTTAAAGAATATATGTAAATATTTTTCAACTTGTTAAAAAACAAATATATAATAATTACAATTTGGTCAAATATACATTCCAATAATCTTTTATTCATTTAACCAAACACGGTAATCTTACATTCTTGCTAAACCAACCAAACATAAAATACAACATTCGTAGTAATCATATTCTCTGATAATCTTTTATTCTAACTGATAATCTTACATTCCGTAAACCAAATACACCCTAAGGGTGGTAAGTCAATGAGTGGACTTTACTATGGGCCTCAAAATACCCAATACCTTTCCACGGCCTTCTAAGGTTTCTTTTGATACAATTATGCGTGACAATGAGGAGGATAGCCCAATCCAGCACTCTGATGGCTCAAAACGTCCTCGTATTATTTCTTCAACAGCAGTGGTTTCTCTGTATCCAGATTATACTCATGTTTTTGGAGGTTCAACCTCTTCCACTAATAAAAATTGAATCGGCAGATCTGTTCAATCAGGCCAGTCAGGGCCAATGAAGCTCCTTAGCTGGAATGTCTGAGGTTTGGAGAAATCTCAGACGGTTAGGCGTCTCCGTCACTTTGTACGGAGCGTGAACCCC